GGTATATTACAGCTAGTTTGTTTCATGGTTATAGAAAACAATGAATTTAAAATGATTTTATTACGGTTAGCTCCCCACTTTCAAAGCCTAAGAAACTAGGTATAGAGCATTCAGGGTGCCTTTACAAAAGATAATTACAGAATATTTCTGAGAAAAGGGGGGCCCACTGTATGCAAATCTTTTAGTGTGGGGCCCAAACTAAAGAATATAAGTGATCAGCTCACCACTCCAAAATCTTTATCAATGTTTCAAATCAATCAGCTTTGCTGAATGGGGAAAATGTTTCTGTTAACAATTCAGAAAAAGTACAATGACAAATTTTGCTTGCAACTAATATTTTAATATCCAATTTATTATAAAATATTGTATTGCAGGTGGTGAAAAACAGCGTGTTGCAATAGCTAGGACTATACTCAAGAACCCCCCGATTATTTTATACGATGAAGCTACTTCGTCTCTCGACTCAATTACAGAACAGGTAAGCAACATCACGCCATCACGTGAACAAAAATACAAGAATAGGTGCAGTATTTCCTCTAAAGTTTTTAACCAGAAATGTTAAAGTATATTGTGTAGAGCATAACAGATTATAAAACAATATTTTTATGTGCATTCAGTTACTGTCCTGTTGGCTATTCAACAGTGCAAATGTTTACTTAACACTATATATCTTAATAAATTTTTGGATACAAGTACAGTATGATTATTACTATACCAATTGTTTTCTTTCAGAATATCTTAGACTCGATGCAAACAGTAACCCAAGGCAAAACATCCCTGTTCATAGCACATCGCCTCTCAACAGTCGTTGACTGTGACGAGATCTTTGTCCTTGAGAATGGTTTTGTAAAAGAACGAGGAAGCCACTATATGTTGCTTAGCAACCCTGATAGTTTATACACACAACTGTGGAACAATCAACACAAAGCCGTGTTACAGAACTACGACGGCAGTGAGGTGGAGGAGAATGATTCTGAGGAACTCAAACATTGATAGGTTTTAACCAGTGATGATGCTCATAAGGGTCAAGCAGGA